CGAAAGATAGCTTGCTCATGCATTCAAGATCGCTGCCCCATAACGCACTGGTTCACTTACAATGATGACGCAGAGGCAGTTCGATCACGTCGCGCTTGACCTGCTTCAGTAGAAAAACGATGGGGCCAGAGTTTCATTGGCCTTTGTCCTGTCAATAACGATAGAAATTACCAAGTGGTGTAATGATAACATGAACATGAACGTGGGATGTCACAAACCTTGCGTGCGTGATGCGGTTCCCGAACATGCCTATTTCAGCTACGTCAGCGCAAGCCATCTAATCTATTAGTAAGGTTGACGCACTCGCGAATCTCCCATTCGCGCCGACTAAAAAAGTGTGAACTTGATAGACAGTTCCGTCGTCACGAACATCGGAGAAGGCTTGAGATCTGGTGCTTGATCCTTTACTGGGCGTGATGGGTATGATTAGTGTGCAAGGACGAGCTCTGTGATGACCATGTCATCATATCTATCTATCTATCTATCTATCTATCTATCTATCTATCTATCTATCTATCTATCTATCTATCTATCTATCTATCTATCTATCTATCTATCTATCTATCTATCTATCTATCTATCTATCTATCTATCTATCTATCTATCTATCTATCTATCTATCTATCTATCTATCTATCTATCTATCTGCCTGTCTCACCAAAGGAGAAAAACAACGAGCTAAAAACTGATGCGAAGCGGCTCTTCACATTTCGCTAAACCAGTACGAATTCAAAGACGCGACAGTGCTTGATCTTACTCTTAACTACTTTTCCTACCGCACTCTCTTCCTCGGGACTTAAGGTTTCATAGAACACGCGGATAACGTCAGTGTTAAGCAATGATCCCATCAGGATTTTACGCTTTTCGGCTAAAAGCAGTTATCTTCGTTTGCGTAACGCACACTACACAACGAAATGAATCGATCACGCGCGATAAATATTCCAGACGAGGCAGACCGTCCGTGCGACCTCGTTACAGAATATGTTAAAAGACTACTCACAACTGATATCCCAGGTATACTGACCAATCGTTAGCATATTTTCTCATGACGTCACGTGAACTGACTAGTGGCATCACGATGTCTGCCGAAAAGACGAAACATTCCGCGGCAGAATCGAGAGCTACAGTTTAACGGGCTTAGTGGAATAGCGCGCTTAGGGGAATGGCGACGGCATCGAAACACACATGCGCAGTAGACTAAATGAGCCGCAGCGTTCACCGTACGCACGCTATTTTTCAGAATTAAGCAGCACCGTGTTTGTATGGTTTCAGTTTATATATTTTTAATGATTGATTGATTGATGTGTGGGGTTTAACGTCCCATTAACACATTAACTATATTTACGTTATAAAATGGCTTTTTGTGCCACTGAAAATAACTGAAATAACACATGCGCAGTAGGCTAAATGAGCCGTAGCGTTCACCATACGCACGCTATTTTTCAGAATTAAGCAGTACCGTGTTTGCATGGTTTAATTTTATATAATTTGATTGATTGATTGATTGATATGTGGGGTTTAACGTCCCAAAACCACCATCAGATTATGAGAGACGCCGCATTGGAGGACTCCGGAAATTTCGACCACCTGGGGTTCTTTAACGTGCACCTAAATCTGAGCACATGGGCCTACAACATTTCCGCCTCCATCGGAAATGCAGCCGCCACAGCCGGGATTCGATCCCACGAACTGCGGGTCAGCAGCCGAGTATACCTTAGCCACTAGACCACCGTGGCGGAGGTTTACGTTTATATAGAGCGTGTAAAACGAGTTGGTGGTATCGGATGCCTGGCTCGCATTGAACTTAGCCTTCCTCCATGAAAGATTAATTTCTTTGGCAGCAAACAATTGAATTGTTTCGCTTACCTTCAGGCAGCTTCGATGATCCGGCATTATGGATAGTTCAGCAGTTTCTTAGATCGTTTTTCATTAAGGACGTTCTTAGCAATGTCGGTGTAAAGAAATCCGCAATTTATAAATTTTATTTTTCGGTGCGTGATTCACATGAATTTACTAATAATTAGTCATAAAAAGTAGTAATATAGCTGCATGCGCAGATACAACTAACAATTTTTAGTTTTTTTTTCCTTTTTTTCACTCTTCTGGAAGCAAGCATCCTCCACCAGGTGGCGCCATAGTCACAGTTTGCGTGCGTAAACACTATCCCGCTTTGCTAGAACGGCTGCCCGCCGCCAGGGCCGCATCCAGCCACTCATTTTAGGGTTAAGGAGGGGGGGGGGGGGTCCGTTACTTCGAGGGGGGCAGGGTTGTTACTTTTTTATTTTCAGTGGCACAAAAAGCCATTTTATAACATAAATAATGTTAATGTGTGCTCACAGTGGTCCCGCTCATTAGTTCTAATCGGTGACAGGAGGTAAACAGCAAGGACTGAAAGGGGGGGGAGGGGGTGATGACAGAGACTTAGGGGAGAGGGCGATCGCCCCTATCACCAACCCTCTGAATCTGCCACTGTTTGCAACGAGCGCTTGCGGCACATCAGCGGTAAACTACAACGGCGTAGTAATGCGCTCATTCTTTCGGCTTCAACTGGTTTTTAGGGGCCCCTTAAACTGTTCCCGGTTCGCACGCGACTGCTTCTGAAAAGGCAACCTCATCAGGCCCGAAAAGAATGCCACAAACACTAAAGCCGCCCGAAGTTACCAAAAAGCAGCAAGTGCTTGCCGTAATTAGGGAGTGTACCACCAGCACGTTGTCGCCCTAGCCTGCGTGGCCACAATGACAAACAAAAAATACAGGCTTCGTACATTTATGACGTCAAGTAATGCATGACAAGCTGCGCGATAGTTTCGATCGATAAAACACGCTTTGTCCATATATATATATATATATATATATATATATATATATATATATATATATATATATATATATATATATATATATATATATATTGATAGTGGCAGCTGCTTTCATCTCTTCATCTGAACATTACTGGGAATGATTTAATAACACCAGCGTTACCTAAGCATTTTCGTTTACTCGTTTAGTGCCCGTGAGAATTTCGTTTTGTTCCGTACATTTTCGCTCAGTCAGTTCATGTTTAGAGCTGTGGCAAACACTTTCCTCCAGCGAGGATTCGCATTCCGCGTTCGATTACTTCGACGTGTAACACCGGTGCGGATCTTGAATCCATTACGTAATTCCTTTATCGTCGCCCTACTGCACCTTCCCAACAACAAAACGGTATTGGGGAGAGTTTCGCTAAAGTGGCCAGTACGTGCATCGCATGCAATGAAAAATGATTCGCTTACAAAGCATCAAATCTTCATGTTTGCCCGCTTCTTCCGAAGAAATGCTCTTGCGCTAATGCAATTTACGAAATGCCAGGCGAAGACATGAGCAGTATAGTGTTCGTGGAGCCATCGTGTGAGGCTCGAAGTGACTACATCACATGGAGCTTGATCTTCAGGGGCTGTTTGCATCCTTGCCAATATAGAGGCGCTGATGCCGAGGACCTGAACATCTAAAACTATGTTCTTAGATATTCGAAAGTAAATTGTAACTTTGTTTTATGCAAGTGCCTCCATTAAATACCGCTACTGACACCCATGAGTGGTGCATAATCATTGTTCTGACCTTTTAAAGGGACGCTAAAAGGACCAAGACTGATGAAACAAAAATAATGAGTTGGTCATAAAACGCGGCGAGTCGAACGATACGTAGAACATGGAAATGTGTCACGCACGGCATATTGTGGTTAAGTGAGGAAAAATTTATTCTTTAGAAGGATCGAGTAATCCTATTTAATAGGTGTCCTGCTGGGCCGGCTGCCCAAAAACTGGCAAGAACAAGTTGCGTTGGCCTACGGGGACACTGTGCCTCAGGGCGTTATTTTCACGGGGTCGCGGTCTATACGACGGCAGTAGTCGGCGTGATGAAAAAGACACTATTTGTGCCAGCTTGCGCCCTCAAAACGAAAAGTCAATCTACAAGGAAAAGTTAGCTCCAAGCTGAGCGTCAGCCGTTGATAATCTGCTGAGCGGTAACGCACGTCGGCAATTACGTATGTGTCATCGAAGACCTTAGCGTTATTGCTAGTGGCCGCGTAAGTTCCAGAATAATCCCCAATGTGTACGTCATGTGCGTAAGAACATCGGAAGGACACAGAACTATCTGGGTGTTTCGTAGTCATTCAGGCGTGGTTTTTCTCGAGGCAGTAGTAGTTACACGTGTAATAAGACAGTAATGAAATAAAAGGAACGTCTGCGTAAATATAGTAACACGCCCTAAAAAAGACACTTGTTGATGTTTTACACATGAAAAACCAAATTTATACTAGACTTTGGGGGGTATTAACTGTTGAAGCTACCAGAGACGTCCGGTTTATGAGTTCTCGTTTAGCCAATCACTTTTTATCCCTCGTAAACACTTATTCGAAAGCTCAGAAATTTTCGTGTTGCAAGTGCTTTGAAATATATACAAAGCGCACAGTCTGGTACCAGAGGTCTTGTTTTGTTTGTCAACCAAACTCCGTTCACTTGGCACGAATGCGCTTGAAAACGTATAGACTTGAGTGAAGCATCAACCTATACGTTCTTTAAGAAAATACTTTGTCCTAATTTATTCTCGATGCTCTTCATAAGACGTGGAGAATAATTATGCAAGGCTTAAGAGAGTATGGACACCGTACGCACCCTCAAGGATTAATCAGAAGAAACGTGTGGCAAAGCTGTTGAAGTCTCACGCGTGTGTATGTGCAGCATATCGCTTTTTTTTTCAAGTGTTCAAAGCAACCAACGCCTCTCATCCGCAAAACTGGAAAAAAAGTCTTGCACGAACTTTAGCAATAAGATGGTCAATCGAAAGATATGGTCAAATGCAATAAAAACCTCATATAGGTTCCAAGAACTCTGCCAACACTGCCAGACCACTTATCCCAAGTTGTCCTGCCTGCATAGTCTTCAAGAAGCCCCACGGCTGGACAAGGTGTAGCTATTAGGGGGAAAAAATGCGTAAAGTTGAACAGAACGTGTCCTCACCTGTGTACGCCTCACCGGGCACGTACTTCTTCGGGTTGCCCGAGATGACGATGCTGAAGTTGTTGTAGCCGGGCGACCGGTCGGTGAGCACGCCGGGAGGCACCCTGTTGCAGGGTCCCACGTAGCGGGGTCGGTGCGGCGTGGGTCCGACGATGTCGCCAGGTTCGGTTCCGGACTCGGGGTCCGGCGCCAGTGTCAGGGCCATCGAAGCCGGCGGCAGCGACAGGGCAGCCGCGAGCACCGCGGAGGCGAGCGCGGTGCCCAGGGCCAGGGGTCCGAACACGCCGCGTCTTCGAGCCATGAGCGGGCGTCGGCGGCAAGAACACGCGTACTCGTGGTCGACGTCCTCGGCTTGCGTGCGGGCCCGACCGCGTTGACGGTCGATGCGGGTCTGCGAGAGCGACGCAAACGCCGAACGAAAACTCCGGGCCTGCCGAGGGGGCCGGCGAATGGGCCGCCGCTTTGGAGAGGAGGGTAGGGCCCGTTCGTGGGAAAGGGGAGAGATGTCTAGACGCGCCACTCGTGTCGTCGAAGAGGGTGCGATGGGGGTGTATAGTGGAGAAGGGTGCTGGAGGAGAGTAAAAAAAGATGGGTGGCTCTCTTAGCCGGACGGCGGCCGAGAGAGGATGCAGAGCTCTTGAAGGGGGTAAAAAACATCTGTGTCTGAGAGGCGGTGAATGAAGCGGAGCAGGATGGCTGGCAAGAATACGGAGGAGGAGTGCCTTTCATCTGGAGAACTTTCCGCTGGCCGCGCCTGTCGGCGTTGGTGCCCACATTTGTGATCGCATCGAAATTGGATGCGTAGAGTTTATTGGTTTAGGGCATAATTACACGCGAGAAACTGCTTCTGAGCATTAGTTTCACCCACTGATGTGTGCACTACGTTGGAAGTAATTCAATGGAGTACGCAAAGCCATGAGCGCGCTCTCAGGTGGGGCAGGATGGCAGCCCACTATAGCACCTTACCATACCTCGTCTCTAACACTCACAGATCGGCGAAAATTGTCGTGCTCGCCGAGGCTTACTCAACGAGTATACTTTCTGCATAGAACTCACTTTGACACAGACTCACGAAAACTTTCTTCCACCAGACTCGCTCGGACTCACACTCATCTGCAGTCGCTCATGTACCGTCCCACCAGAGGTTAAGTCGGTCGACTCATTTGCCGACTTACCATAACACCTTTCGTTTTCACTGCGCACCCACCGCAACAGCCTCGACAAGAGGGGAGTAGGGAGGAACGAAGAGAGGGGGGAAGGGGGGCTTTGTTGAAACCTGGCACACCATCTCTCTAATGGAGGAACCTGCAAATGTCTGTGAACGTAGCACACCACACTGTGACACAGCACGATCGAAGACTCATCGAAACATAAGAAAACGCAAAGCTTCTAATATCAGAGACCGAGCTGTTGCTTCCTTGTCAGCAACGATGCTTCATTATCGTTTAAACTACAAACGCAGCTACGTCGCGACAATCGGGAAATCAGGAACGTTGTCACGTAACTACATCACTTCACGCTCCACCTGCAACCGCGACATAGTATGCCTTATCTTGTAGCCTATAACCCGCACCTTGTATAAGAATACGCCGAAGGCTTTTAAAAAAATTGTGCACGTACTTGTGCGCACGGGTGTGTGTGTTCGTGTGTTTTCTTTTTTCCACACTTTACCATTACCCACCTGTCCTCCCGTTTTCTTGTTGTTGTTGTTGTTTTTCGATGCATGTCAGCAATCCGATTTGGCCGAACTTGCCTCTAATCCGGGGCATCTCTTTCGCGCAGAGTACAAAAGTCCACTAAAGCGGCTGTCGTTGATGCTTCCATTCTGGATCCCCAAAGACCTCCAGTGCCGGGATTCACGTCGTTTTGCAGCCTGCACAAGACATGTTAATTCTTTTTTTTCTCTATTCTGCAGGTGTCGTGTAAAGAGCTCAAGAAAGCAAGACGCTTGACGCGAACACGCTTGACGCGCTAAGTACAGGCCTTTCAACTTAGTTTTCATTCGCGAAGAAATTTCGAAAGCGGCTTTCATTTGAGCAGGGAAAGAGAGAAGAGGCACCCTAGATTTTACATGTCCCCACACATCCCCCTGGCCCTACATAAGCAAGCATAGTAAGAACACACTATGTTCTAACCTACCTGAGCCGTCCCCACTCCCCAAGAAACTCCCTTGTAGGGTGATTGATTGAATTTTGTTGGTCTTATTGTAGTAAATGAATGAGTGAATGATAAGCACTGGTTGCTGACAACATTATGAGGAAAGCCGCCGTGTCCGAAGGATTTAGATGGCACCACGCATATGGCCCGGCCCAATTCACAATGCCTATTTACTTTAATAAAATGAATTAATTACTCTATCAATTGATCAGCCAGTAAGTCAATTAGTCGAAGTGAAAGTCAACGTCACTTATTATTACTAGATGAAATGTTGTTACAGAAGAACATGCGATGAGGGTCTCACAGTTGAAGGCTGCAGTGGGACTCTTGGTTATGAATGGTTAACAGAAAGTATAAAAAAGGAAAAAAACTGTGAGCATATGCCCAGCAACAAAAAGATATTAAAAAACAAGTAACATACAAAGCTAAAATACATGAATTGAAACACAGTGGCAAAGTACAATAACTATAACGAAGTGAATCCATCAATGATGGAATTACGATCCCTATGACTTCACTCGTCCCCAAAGCAACAAATGAAAATCTTGTCGTACTCGATAAATAAATAAATAAATAAATAAATGTTTCATTGACGTCGCTCTACACTCATCGTCATCCTAAGGCGATGGCTTCAAGGCTTAGAGGACCCGCCCTTTGATAATAGAGGGTGCAGGTCCACCCCAGCACAATGCATTGCATCTTACATTGATTAGGGCGCTAACGCTTCTTAACCCTTTCCGGCTCGTACCAATCATAACCCAGCGCGAAAATTGGCCTTGATACACGTCCTCCCCATCGGCCTCCTGCTTCGTCGACGTGAGGAAATCGAACGAGTAAACATACACACACAACAAGAAAAAAACAAGCAAGCAAGCCACATTACACATAAAAAGTACTAGGCATGAAAGAACGCCACGTTGAGCCATTTGGGCAATGACGAAAAGGGTTCTGCTTTCACTCATCACTGTTGTGTCTGGACCTTTTCCAACAAATGGTGTTGTGGCGGAGAGGAGGGTACTGTTCCTTGGGTCCCTTTCCCTAATTACACGTGGCGACCGGCATCTGCGCCACTGCGTGGCACTCGTGTGCGTGTTAGCACGTTCGTGCGTGCGTGTGGCTGATGGCTACTAGGTACAGGTTGTTCTAATCCTCACTGAGACGGGCTACAGAAAGGAAAGAACGAAAAAAAAAGGGGTTGTTTACGGAAAAGGACCGAAATCCCAACGGCACGCTCTAACAGGATGACCCTTGCGTATATATGAGCACGTCAGCAGAAGTAACGCATTTATCGATTGATCGATTGATTGAATTATTGATTCATTCATTCATTCATTCCTTCATTCATTGAGCGACAGCCCAACCGACCGAACGACTAAATGACTGACTGAAGGGCTGACTCATCATCTGATTGATTGACAATCAATCGACAACGATCAAAGAGACTGAACAGAGCCAACAGCATGAATTGCTCACAATGCAAAGCTCCCTAACAATTGGCTCGAGAATGGCACAGGCTCTAGCTGTAATTTACTCAACACTCATGTCGTCCACAGCAGTGGGTCAGTCGCAGTGGTGCGCGGCTGTTGACCAGAAGGTCGTGGGTTCGATTCCGGTTGCGGTTGTCATACTTCGGTGCAGTTTGAATAGTCCGATGTCGATGCACATTAAAAACATGAGATCTTCAAAATTTCCGGAGCCATTCATTACAGCGTCCCTGGTAGTCAAATAATTGTTTTCGCACGTAAAACCACAGATATTATTGTCAGCACTCTTGTCCTACATAAACAAATACGTGCATCAACTATAGCGTATTTGTGAATTTTTGTCACCCTCACTACTTCTAAAACTTTCTCCGCCTCCCTTCCTGTCCTCTTAATCGCCACTGGTAACTCAATTTCCCCGATGTTATATGGACTTCGGTAAATGAACTGGATGTCATCGTTTCCGCAATACGCCGCGCTGGATTCCTGTTTCGGCAAATGCCATATGCACGTGTTCCGAGATGGTCGAGCTGGGTGGGCGCCTGCATTAGCATCCGTTTTAGTAATCAAATACACGCGTCCCATTTGCTAGATTAGAATCTTCCTCGCTTTGAATGGTCAAGCGCTTCCCGCGTGTAGAGGAGATAATATATTTTCATAAACACACAGCTTGTCGATTTCAAGTGCTTCCAGACCCGGCCGTGGCGAATTGGGAATCTTCAGTGGCAAGGCATCTAACCGACGTGGTTGATGAAATATGCGTCGAAGACCACGTTTGAACGGTTCCCGACTTTGACGTATTATTTACTCAGTACGAAAAGTTCATGTGAATGCTGTCGTAATAACGTGTGCTTCCTTTATGCCCTTCAAAAACGGTCTCCCTTTGCATTCAGTACACACACTCACATACATACATACATACATACATACATACATACATACATACATACATACATACATACATACATACATACATACATACATACATACATACATACATACATACATACATACATACATACATACATACATACATACATACATACATACATGAATGTTTTCGCATCATTCCATCAAGGTCAACGAGACCACGGCCAGATTGAACTCTTGACCTTTTTCCTAGGCAGCGCCATGGCATGAAGCTACCGAATTAACCCATGTGGCTTACCTCAGATAATTATTTACGCGTTTGGATCTACCTTTGCAGATACCTCGAATGCGGGGTATTTTTATGCTATGTAGGCTGACCATGTACTTCGAAACGCTGAATATATATTGAAGCAGTACTAAATCTGATATGCAGAAGACAAAGACAATCCTCGGTAGTCAGGAGCAAAATCCCGCGATTAGCAAGCAGCCTCACAGTTTTTGCAAGAGTACGTATATTTGAGTTAATTATTCGCAGGAGTTCTGACCTCATGAAAGCAATATTATCAAAAACTAACAAACAATGATGCCAAGTAAAGCGTAGGGAATGTGATTACAAGTAATCGTAATATAAATAAGATGAAAGAAAAAAGCATGAAAGGATTACTTGATGCCCGCAGGAAGCAAAGTTGCGACTTTACAATAACGCGTCTAACGCTCCGCCACTGATTGCCACTGTTGGCGGTCGTCCTTTCGTCCAGTTTGTAGGAAATAATCATCATCATCATCATCATCATCATCGTCGTCGTCGTCGTCGTCGTCGTCATCATCAGCCTGACTACGCCGACTGCAGGGCAAAGGCCTCTCCATGGCAGACGAAGAAAGTGCTTAACAG